CATTGTGCTGAACACTGGAATTTGACATAACATTGTAAAATGATTATAAATCAATAAAAAATGTTAAAAAAAAAAAAAGAACTGGGGAACTCTGTCAGGGCTGGTGACCTGGGGGCAGCGGTGAGGACCTGGTCAGCACTAGGCACCAGGGACGGCGCCAGATACCTGTGGGCGGGGCTTGGAGCCGGTGGGAGGGGCTAGTAACCTGGCGGGCGGAACTGAGGAATCCTCTCAGGGCTGTGGTAGGCAGAGCCTCAGACCAGTGGGTGGGGCTTAGGGATCTGGTGGGCGGGGCCTGAGGAGCAGGTCTAGGAACTGGGGAGCTCTAAGGGACCCTGGGAACCTGACGTATTTATGTACCGGGGGTGGGTTAGGGGCGCTGCAGCCCTTCAGTGTGGGGACCAGTTGCATTTGCGTTGGTGGTGGGTAGGGGTAGAAGTCTGGAGGGCGAGGCTTAGGTCCAACCAGAGCTGGGGACAGAAGGGAAGGCCTGGGAGGTCAGACAGTCAGGGCCCGGCAGCGGGCGCGGGTTTGTCCGCTCGTACCTGTACAGGTGACCTGGGCCGGCCTCCCGTCGCTGCTGCACGGGTGCTCCACCACGGTGCAGAGCTGCCACTTGGCACTGCTGCACAGGACGGCGGGCGCCACGGCCCGCGTGGCGTTCGGGGTCCCGCTGGCGTTGCCTGCGGCTGGACCAGGTGGCAGCTCCGGGGTCGGCAGGAAGGGCGGTTCCGGCCCCTGCGCCCCTCCGCAGTCCAGCAAGCTGCACAAGGCCTCCGCGGCCGTGCGGCTCCAGAGCGCGCCGCAGGCGGGCTCCCAGGACGACCTGAGCCTGACCTCCACGGTCCCGCTGCAGCGGCTGCTCCCGTTCACCAGGCGGACCCCAAGTCGCTCCCCTGGAAGCACCAGACACCAGATGAGCCTCAGCGGATGCAGATTCGGATTCTGCTGATCCCAGGGATGAGAGTGGGGCGGGCAGCTGCCAAGGCCTCCGCTACTGATCTGCTGCTGCATGACCTTGGACCATACGTTCTAGTCTGCAAAATGGAGCTGGGCTGGCTCATGCCGGGAACCTCTGGTCCTCCTTAGAGTCAGGAGAAGGTAGGGCTAAAGGTGACTAGAGGTTAGGATGGGTTAGGCTTGGGTGTCCAGTCCCTACAAACTCTTCTCTCTTGCCTCTGCCTCCAGAGGCACCCTTGTGTGAAAGAAGGCATACTTCCGCTCTCAGGCCCCTCTGTTTTTCTCAGGGTGCTACCATGGAGGTAGCATCGAGACCTCGGAAACTTGGAGGTTGGATATGGGGTTGGTAATGGGTTTGAGGATGCACTACTTCAGTGGATGGTGGTGCCCCCTGCCCCAGAGCCCCTCCTTGGGGAGCCACCTCCTATTTTCCCCAGGGCGGCATCTCTAGTGCTAGGGCGCAGCTTGGCTCTTAAATATCTGTTGAGTTAATAAAATACCCACCTGGTGGAACCCCACCACCTCCACCAAGAGTTCTTTAGCTTATTCTCAACAAATCCTCTTAAAATGCTCGCTGAACATTTTGCCCACGTGTATGTAAATTTTTATCAGTGGCCTCTCAAAGATGGTAGCTCAAAGATCTCAAAGTGAATCTAGCAGTGGAGCTTCAGGCATTGGGTCAGGAAGGAGAAGTGTCGTCTGGAGTTTAGGAGCCTCCTCAGTACCATAAAAACCCATTTCCCTTTCCCATCACCCCAGAAGACCACCTGCTTGGTCTCAGAAAGCTGACTGTGGACCCCAGGAAGACTGTCTCCTCACCTGGCTCCAAAGGCGATCTCTCTGTGCTGCTGCTATCACGCTGGTCAGAGGGGGATGGAGATGGGTGACCTGAAATTAACCAGCAACAGCCGTGATGGGTGAGTGAGCTCAGGCGTGGAGGGCACACAGGTGGCTTGCAGGGCTGGGGTCACTTTCTGGAGCCTTCTGTGGCCATATGGGGCCTCTGGTAAGACCCAGTCCTTGACCTTGGGTGCACTTATCTCCCTTCGAGGTAGAGAAATTCTCAAGCTTGGGAGCTACAGCATCCTCCACTTCATCTACTAATTGTGTGCACATCCTCAAAAATCAGAGAAGAGCAGAAAGGAATGATCATGGATTTGGGGCCAGGTCCACCTACTGGCTGAGTGATCATGGAAGGGTTACTAATTGCTCTCAGCCAGAGTCCCGATTTGTTGGCAATAACACTTAGGAAAGTATTGTGAGGCTAAGAGAAGACAATACCTGTAAAATATCTCACATACAGAAGAAGCTAGAAATGGGATTTATTATTAAGAAAAATATTTTTTTGTTTGGAAAATTTGTTGGAGAAATTCATGTCAGACTTTAGGGTAATGGACGCCTCCTGGGCTGGGAACCATTGGGCTGCGAATTGCTTTCAGACACTGAGGAACTAATGTTTACAGAGGACCGATTCTATGCCTGGCCATTGCATGTATTATTCCTTTTTCCTTCAATAACACAAGGAGGCAGGTATCAGCATTCATTTTTTGGAAATTAGGAAAGGGAAGCCAAAAGAACAGAAATCAATTGCCTAAGCCAGATAGTGTCCATTTGTCCTCAGAGTCTCTGTCCATTTTGCCCTGGAAGGCTGACCTGTTTGGACTAAATCGACATCTTCTGGGGCCCTTTGGCTTCTGCTGGGCTCAGCCAATGGGGAACCCCAGCAGAGAGAGGAGGAAGGGAAGAGAGAGAAGTCTTGGTGTTTATCCCCCTCGGCTCTTTCCTGTTGCGATCCTTTAGGCAGGCCATGTCCCTCATCTGAAGGTCATCGCTCCTCTCCGGGGGTCCCCGCTCCTTGACTTTCTCCTTCTGGGTCTCACTGATCGCTTCCTGGTCTTGTCTCCTCCGGCTCAGAGGGGTGACAGCTCAGCTGCTCTGAGCTCCTGGTTACTGCATTATCCTTTCTAAATAGACCTTTTCTAAATAAGACCCCTTCAAACTCCAATTTTGAGTGTGCCACCTGTGTCCTTTTGGGACCCTGACTGATACATGGCCTGAGGCCATCCAGGTAGCAAGTAGTGGGACCAGGATTTGAACTGTCTCCAAGGAATCAGCTCCATGCAGGGCAGGGATATTCCAATTTGCAAAAGCACAAAAAGGAGGGATATGGCTGGAACCACGGTGCTCACAAAGTAGCTCCTCTACACTTCTGCGTCTCTCCTGCACTTAGGTTGGGGCCATTGATGTCTGGGCAGAAGGACAGGTGCCCACTGTCAGGCCAAGGGAGGTGAGAGGCATTAAGCCTCCTCTATCTCTTTCTGCTCTGTTGTGGCCAGATTAGAGGCCCTGGGTTCCAGATGCAAGATGGAGAGGAATGCTGACCCTACTTAATTTTGTGTAAGAAGTGAACCTTTACAATATTAAGCTATGAAGATTTTGAGATGTACTTGTTAATTGCAGCCTAGCCCGGCCTGGCCTGACTGATACAGGGGCTGAAGATTCAGGCATGACTGTTGCACATTCTCGGCCTTACCTGAGAATATTCCATGAACTTACACCTGCACAAGCATGAGCGAATGCGCGTGCACGCACGCACACACACACACTCTGCAGACACTGCTCTCCTACAAGCACCTGGCTGGGCTACTCCACCACCCAGACAGAGATAATCAGGCCTTTAATTGCCTGTCCTGACCAACTCCCTGGTTGGCTGCCCAGCCTGACCCCCTGAAGGGGAAATGACTCAGAATTCAGAGCACAAACTCTGTGGCTAATGTTATATTCAGAGCAAGAATTCAGATGCCCCCAAGTTAGGATTTCAGATCCCAGCTCCCACAGCAGTGGTCCCCGTGCTCCGGTATAGCCCTCATTATTTCTATGTAAGCTGGGTCGGGGGAGGCCAGGGAGATGGGAGGATTGGGATGCTGGTGCAGTGCACGTGTGTGATTGTGATATGTCTGTGTGTATAAGTGTGTGTGTGGTTGTGACTGCATGTGCATATGTGGGGGGCTCTAGCTCACTTCTGGACACCTCTCTCTAGGTCTGAGAAACCATTTCTCATGCACAAAGACACACATGTTTCTGTTTGACCAGAAAACCCTGGAGGGAAGGGCCAGAGGCTGGGTCAGCCCCGTGTCCCCCAGGGTGCCCAACATAGTGTTTGTTGATTGACTGACTGAACAAAACAGTGAGCAGGAGCCACCAGCTCCAGGGACAACTGTCGCCGAGGCCAGATCCACTCAAGGATTTGTCTTCTGAAGCACGGGCATTTTCCTATCCCCCATCCCAACCAGGGAGCCTGGCTTTTGTGTTTTGACTTCTGTGCTGCAGGAACAAAAGCAGAAGTTACCTCTTACCCTCCTTCCATCCAGGCCTCGGTTCATGGAGGGCCCAGTCCAGGATAGGCACTTCCCAGACATTGTTACTGCCCTTGCCTGGCCATGTGCTTCACATCATTAAATTTGATTCATTTTTTTGGCTGCAGTAAATCTATCTGAAAAGGAATCTTTACCCTGTCTTGTGAATTCACTTTATAACACTTAGATGTCTGAATGTAAAAATATTCATGACAGTTTTTTTGAACAGCCAACAATTCGAAGGAGAGTGAATGCCCATCTGTTGGGGAAATTGCTGGATAAAGATGGTCCATTTACAGCATAGCATCTTATGGAGCCTTTATAAAGAATGAACCAGACTCATACCAATTGGAGGGATTTCCATGCTATGTTGAGTAAAGAAGCAAGATGCAGAGAAGGAAATATAATAGGATACAACTTTTGTAAAACGATGGCCCCAAAAAACCCCTCCTGTGAACTGGTATGATTATGTGAACATGGAGGAAAGTGTGGAGGAACGCAGGGCAGGTTATGAAAATGAGTAAATTAAAAAGGTGGGCTTCAGTGGAAGGACAGAGAAGAGCCAGCTCCATGGGTGTGTAACCTGTGCATCACAAGACCCTGCATTTAGAAGGGTCCCAGACTTGGTTTAATGCTCTGCTGTCTCCGAATGGAAATTCTTAATGATTTTGGAACAAGGGGTCCTGCATTTTCATATTGCACAGGGCCCTGCAAATTATGTTACTGGTCCTGGGGGGTGAGTCACACCAGTGGGAGGAGTGAGAAGGGAGAGAGAGAGAGGAAACAAGAGATGAAAGGAAAAGATAAAAGGCTGTACTTAGAAAAATCATCTGTATGATTCCATTTGCATAAGACAAGGTACAGAGGTAAACATGCAAAAAATGAGAAAATATAAAAACCTTAATGGGCTTTTTGTACTGCTTGCCTAAAACAGAAGGCAATTGTAAAAATAAGTATACTAGAAATGAAGCCCTTCTGTAAAATGGGAGCAACAAGCGCCCGGCGAGATGATGTAACCAAGGCCCTCAGTGCTGTGCTGTTAGACAAAAGGCCTGCGGGCACATTGTTTCTAATAGGAAAAAAAAAAACAAAAAACTGGAAACAATTGAATTGTCTAAAAGGGATTGGGGATCTGTTAGAAAAACATACCAACACGTTACAAAATATTTGCCTTAAGAAGTAAATAAATAAATCTGTACAAAGAGTTTTTGAGGATGTCAGGGCCTATGATGGGATGATAAGTAATAGGAGGAAGATACACAGTTCTCTCTCCCCTCCAGCACCTGCCCCACCCCCGCCTGGCTTTGAACTTCTTAAGGTCTTCCAGGCCCAGAGGGAGCCCAAGTTCAATGCCTCTTCTAGCCTCCAGGGCACCTTTGGCTTTTCCACTGTAGCCCTAGCCACAGGCAATTATGTAGTTATTTTCTTTATGAGCTGTCTAATGGCCAGTCAGGCCCACTCGATTCTAAGCCTCACATGGGTACACTGAGGCCCACGGACTCCCAGTGCAATGGTCTCCCCAGCTGACCCCATTGCTGCTCTGGGGCGGGATTGGGTTATGCCCCTCTCCAGGACTGGGGTCAGGACCCCGGGGACTGCAGTGCCCTCCAAGATTTGGGAGCAGGGAGCACCTGCTGGCCTGGAGACCACCAAGACAGAGTTCACGTGGATCAGTCTTTCGTGCCCTGAGTGAGAATGACAAGGGCTAATTGAATCAAGGAGGGCCTGCCCCCCAGGCTCTAGGTTAGGCCCTAGACATTCAAAGGAGGCAGAGTTGGTTCAGGGAGCTGTCCAGAAATATTCACTGGCCCCTGGCCTTGAATGGCAGTGGGTGGGTGCTGGGCTGCCATTCCTTCTGCAAGTGGACATTCGGGGGACAGCCAGGTGGGTGCCTAGTGTTCTATTTCTAACCACACTGATGAGAGCCATTGCCCATCTTGGGCATCCTGGGTCCAAAATGCAGGGAAATTAAGGAAGGACACTGTGATTCTTCCCATTGCACTGATGGGGAAAGACGAGGTCCCAAGACATGCCAAGTGCCCTCCACAAACCTCCTGGCACGGCTCAGCGATATAGCTGACATTTTATTCAGTCCATTTACACACCAGTTCCTTTTAAAATACTTTAGATGAGTCAACTGATTTAATTCTCACAACAAGCACACAAAGTGGGGGAATTAAGGTGCAACAAAGTTTCATAATTTGCTCAAGAGGATTTAGCTAGGAAATGGCAGGGCTGGGATTTGAAACCAGGCTGTCTGGTTCCAAAGCCTGCATGCTTAACCACTCCACTTTCCTGGTTCGGAATCTAACATCCCAATTTCTGCTTCAGTGATCACACCAAGGGTGAAGGGCAGGGAGCTCTGACCATCTAGGTGGTTCTCCTAACTACTTCCAACTCTGCGATGCTCAGCCAGCCCTGAACTTAGATAGCCCACCCCGCAAGGGTGACACAACTCAGCCCTCCAGCCCCAGGGACCAGTTCCCCAAAAGGGCCCCTGACTCTAAGGAGGCGCAGCAATGAGGAAAGAGT